AATAACCTTTATATTGACGTTAAAATCTCAGTAAAATACTGTTTTTCGCTTCTGGATAAACACTGTCGCTATGTTGTCATTTTTCCCACACAAAACCGCATCTGGTGCACGATAAATTTTATTTAAAACGGCACTAAAATATTGTGACGCGTCACACACCGTCACACCGTCACAATCACTAGTACAGAGGTACAGACTAGTAAGCAAAAGTGAAGCCGGAAGTCACCGCCAATATGGGCCCCATGCACTTTTGTATAGATTTGTATTACAGATGGTAGTTATTCACGTTTTTTGCCTTGACTACGTTTCTGACCGGGCCAGTTTTACAATCACAAAGATAGAAGCATACAAGAAGAATTTTGAGCGAAAAATTTGGAGTATTATGGCTTTATAACGCCGCGAAACGGGATTTACAACTTTGAAGGAGTGGAGCCAGGAGCCTCAGATGCTCGTTTCGCAGTGCTATATACTTTCATACAAAATCAACTCAAAACATACAGGAATTACTGTTACTAGACGAATATTCTCAGGAAATTTGAAGAAATGAAGCAGCTACATTGTGAACGAAAGCGTACTGAGGTTAGTTTTAAAATATTGAGGCTACTTTTATAATTTACCTTGCAAACCTTGAGCATTTGTGCTGTTTTAATAATACTACATAAAGCAGGATGTGGTTTCCAGTGACAGTTGTTTTATGGCAATGATATTCCAGTGTGCCAGTAAAACAATTGTCGTTTGTTTCTCTTTTAGTATTAAATCAAAAAGGTGGTTGCAGGTATTCAGATCCTGGAGTGCTGTAAAATGGCCCTGACCTTGGGCAATTAAGTAATATATGAGACGTGGTGTGATAGGAAATTTTTGATTCATTGTGATTGACTAATAAAATTGGAATGGTGAGAATAATGATGATGATACTGGTGATGCACAAGTTGTAATGATACTGCTGATAATGAAAATATATTGTACATACCAATTGTAATGAGACATAAATAATGAGATTGGCAGTAATGAATGTGTATGACTTGATCAATGTGCTGGTGAGAACGCAATGTATTGCCACCTAGATGAAGTCCCATGCCATTTTGTGTTCAAAACTAACTGCTCTCATCAGCGCCAAGCATAAAGCATTTTAAGGGACCCTGTGAATGGGGCAATAAGCCCTTTAGGGATCACCAGTCATTTATGACAAAGCTCGTAAATAAATAAAATAAAAATAAATAAGCTGGTTTCTACCCCGCTAACTGATCTTGAAACTATGTGCACACATATAAATATTCATTTCCCCCCTCATGAATTAATAATTATATTGTTTGCACAAAAAATCTGTTGATTATTTCATTTGGAAACAGTGTGAATGTTGTTTGAATTTGGTATGTTTACTCTGTGACAAGTGATATATAATTCATGCATAATATGGTGATTTTGGTTTCAGGATGTAAAAAATGAAATTTACTTACTGATAAAATTCAGTGTAACCATATTCATTAAGCCTCTGTGTCTCTCTGTTAAGCCCTACCTCCTCAATACAAATAAAACTGTGCATAGTAGATAGGACTGAATAGGTTTTTAATTTTCCTAGGAAATTACTGACATAAATTACAGAGTGACATTACTGACAAAAGTATGATGCATCAAAACACCCAATATTAGTCCTAATTTTCTAGACCAGTTGTGAATAATACTGACTTCAATTAAAACCCAAAAGAATTTTATGGGAAAGAAAAAATTATAGTTACAGGAACCACTGAGTATTTTAATAAAATACAAAAGGACAGTAACTCCAAATAACATTTTGTAGCTTTAAAGCTACAAAATGTTATTTGGAGTTACTGTCCTTTTGTATTTTAAGTAATTATAGTATTCTCAGTATAAAGAGGAATAATTGATTTATGAAAATTATGTAGGCTGAAATATTTAAAATGTTTAAGGATGTTGGTTTTTAACCAAAGCCAAAGATATTTGAAAACACAGTATGATATTACAATCTCGGTGCTTGACTGTTGGGTAGTAGTCACAATGGTAACAACAACATTTGTGTGGTTAATCTAGTTAAAGCAGAAAATTTGATCTGCTGGTACAAGGCATGTTTTCTTGGGGCTGTAGCAAGATATTATTATATACTATAAGATGCAGCTGACAAATGAAGTATTTCAGAAAAAATATTTACCCTAAAATTATTAGTGACTTGTGCCACGACTAAAATTATGTTATAGCCTTGGTTCAAATTTCATAAATCATGAACTGATGTAACTGCAAATGTAAACAAATAGGTGAATGTGCACACAGTACAGACTGTTATTTGCTTTTAGGACTCCTAAGTCCAGTTGTTGCTTACATTTAATGTCCATTTACATATCAGATTCCTAATTAATAAATTTGTTATTTTATACATGTGCTTCAGGACTTCCTATTATTTTTCATGTTTCAACATCACTTGATATTATTTTTCATGATTCAGGATTGGTACCCCCCCCCCCCTTCCCCCCCTCTTCCAGACAATGAGAAATAAACATCCCAAAAATAAACTCACTGAAATTAATTCACACACAAAGGTTTCAAGATACTGTATATAATTTTATTCACAACTATATTTTAAACGACTTAAACTACATACATACGGAAACCAACCTGTCACTCGACCAGTTAATTGTTTCAAAATATTCTGTTTTGATAACTACATGTTTACACATGAAGAATTTCGTTTCCATAGATCAATAGATGCTCCTTTCATTATACAGGCACATTTATACTGAGTATTTATCCTTCCATAAAAGTACAATAAAATCCCAAGTGATATTCTTTGGTCAATACGTAGAAATTACTTATAATCAACAATGTTTATTAAATTCTTTATAAAACGTCGCGCACAAGCAACTGCATGGATACAAAATAGACAGTTTAAAGACAGATCACTCGACTAGTTTTCTCTCAGTTTGATCCTCGATCTTTGATTCTTTGATAAGTATTACCGTTCGCTATTCCACAATTTGTTGAAAGAAAGCTCGTAGAATGCATATTTTTAGTATACACCCACTCTCAAATCTCACTCGAAAACGTCGCGCCTATTAAGGTTACTCCACATGATGAAAGTCCATTTCAGGAAAATGCTCGCCGCGCACTAAATTTTTCAGTTTCCCCCCTCAAATTTGGCATTCACAACGATAAATCATTGCTGCTGCTACTACTTTAACAAAAATTATACATTTTTAAAAACTATGGTTGCTACGAGCTGCTTTTGAAAACATGACGCACTTCGCGCGACGAGCTTTAGAACCATCCGATTAAACTCAGAAGCTTCCGAAATATCACATTTCCCATGTTAAATTATCAAAGAACAAAACCGTGTTCGCGTTTTTTGACAGGTATTATATTTGCCGAGATATAAAGCAGATAAGTTGACTCATCAAAAATTTGCAATAACGATAGAACAGAAGCCTATAATTTGAAAACTAAAGCATTAAAAGAAAAACGCGAACACGGTTTTGCTCCTCTGGTGTTGTTCTATATTGTGGTAAAGTTTGGTAGTAATTCAATAAAACGTTCCCGTTCCATAACTTGTTTTGTGAGAACAACCGGGCTGATAATTCCTTCTCTGTAAAAGACAAAAAGTGATTTCGCGGAGATTTTCCGTTCTCTGTTATGTTTCTCCGCCCCCCTGTCATCACTTCAAACTGAAGCCAATCAGTTTCGACTTTTAAAGTGTGTTTTGGCTGGGTTTCATTTTGACTCAGTATCAATGACAAGGTGATAAGCAAGCGCACTTTATATAGTTATATATAAGATTGATCACTTTTTAAACCGGCGTTTTACTTAGAAAGCAAATTTCACTGTGTTGTGTGCGTGTACCTACAATATTACAGTGATATAGATATATCTAAAACAAACAAGCCGCCCAATATTGAATACCGCCACAGATGCGAACATGCACCCTGTGGTCAAACCATATGGTCTAACTTATCCAAAAATTGTCAATCACAATTAAAACTTTCCCGGGGGGAAAAAATTAGACTATAACATTTTCGGTTATATCTCGGTTGCATTTTAATATTTTGAAAAAATATTTGCGGAAATGGAAAGATCTCTAGCCCCTCGATACAAATCGATAAAAAAGTAAAAAAGGACAAAATCAATGTTTTCATCATATGGAGTAACCTTAATTCGCGCTGCCATGTTTCACAAAATCAATCGGCTCCGCTCCCCCCGGATTGAAAATTAAATACACCTTTCCGGAAGGTAATAGACCTTTCCCCTTTTGAGTAAAATTTGGTGGATGTAAACAAGTGACGCGTGTATACTCGCAAAAATATTGGCAAATATATGTAAGGAGGGAGAATGTAAAATTTCAGGAATTTTAAGAAATATATTTTAGTTAGTTCTCTGTTGCTTTGCCTATAGTTTACAGAAAATGACATCGTGAAACGAGAGAGTTCAATAAGGATTTGTAAACAACAGCTTATCCAGGGCGGCAATCACGGCTTTAAAAACTAAATAATATATAGCGGCACTTGCAGAACGCAAATCTTAGGCATGTTCATATGGAAGTGAGCTACCTTTTTAAGATCTAGACAAGATCTAGGATTAGAATATTATGTAAACTCGTTTTATAGTTTTCCGGTGACTATTTACATGCATGACACAAGCGAGTAACTCATCTTGCCAAGAACCCGTCAGAGAGAGAACAGATAGGAAGAAATTCAAACTATTACAAGTGATAACAGATACAAATATTTCCACTAATTACCAACGGCAAATAATAACCGAACCACAACAACGGTAAACAAAACTAAAATATCACGATTATGTACTATTTGGATATTCTCAATCAGAATGATCAAGAATGAAGTTCTAGCTAGTAAAACCATTTTCTAAAAAAATAATTCAGTATGATGTCACGCTGTAGTATTCATGGTCATTCATGTCCCCTACTTCGGAGAAGAGATATATCTTAGAAAGGTAGCTCACCTAAAACTGTAGGCAAAGCATCAGAGATCTAAGTAAAATATATTTCTTAAAATTGCTGAAATTTTACATTTTCCCTCCTTAAATATATTTGCCAATATTTTTGCGAGTACACACGCGTCACTCGTTCACATCCACAAAAGGTCGGGGCTTAACTCGAATGCTTAAATTGACTTCGAGTTAAGCCCCTGGCGAAAAAGGGCGTGGCAGGGGCTTAACTCGAAAAGGGCTTAACTCGAAGGGCTTAACTCGAAAAATACCTAACCCCCATATATGTTAGCGTAAATTATATGTTAGCGTAAATTAATATGGTGCGGGCGTGTTTCTAATATGTCGGATAATATTGAAGATGTTGTCGTTTTACTGACTCTTTTACAAACAAACATGATTTATACAATGCGCCATTCGATACATACAAAAGAAGACGCAAAAGGATTCAAAACATAGTTATGAGCTCTAGAGTACAGAGTGCGAACAAAATACGTAAGCGAACGCCACGACGATGTTGGGTAAATCCAGGACACACGACCATGTGGTGAGAAAACTTGCTTAACGGAGTATCCCCAGCTAGAAAGTGAGTGGAAAAAGAACTTTAGAATGTCGCGAGGAAACTTTATGGAATTATGCGATGAGTTTCGACCCATCATTGAAACAGAGACAACACGAATGAGACAATCATTACCTGTAGAAACCCAAGTCGGCGGTCGGCATCACTCTTTACTAGTTGTCTGATGAAGGCAGGTATAGAAAGGTGGCTAATACATTCGGAGTGGCTAGGTCGTCCGTATCTAAGACCGTGGGAAGTGTTTGCGTTGCAATAACTGATTTTCTTGGACCACAATATATTTCCGTACCACCTTATTTAAATAAATTGGTCAATACTTTTATGTGTTCCATGGTATCCAACAGTGTATTGGGTCATAGATGGTACCCATATACCAATTAAAGCCAAGTCTAGTGAAAACGCTAGTGATTTATTATATGCCTCACTGAATGTTCAAGCCACCTGTGATTACAGATATTGGTTTATCGATATGGTGTGTGGAGTGTACAGGATGCCCGGATGTTTAGGAATTCAAGCTTAAATACAAAGTTCAGAGATGGTACAATCCCCCCTTGTTACAAGTCAATTGTTGATGGGGAGGATGCAGTGCCAGTATGCATACTGCCCAGCATATACTGTGATGCATGTTTTGCGACGCTTTGTGACGGTGTGTGACGCTTTGTGATGCTTTGTGACGGTTTGTGATGCTTTGTGACGGTCTATGATGCTTTGTGACGGTGTGTGACGGTTTGTGATGCTTTGTGACGGTGTGTGACGCTTTGTGACGGTGTGTGACGGTCTGTGATGCTTTGTGACGGTGTGTGACGGTTTGTGATGCTTTGTGACGGTCTGTGATGCTTTGTGACGGTGTGTGATGGTCTGTGATGCTTTGTGACGGTGTGTGACGGTTTGTGATGCTTTGTGACGGTGTGTGACGGTTTGTGACGGTGTGTGACGCTTTGTGACGGTGTGTGACTCTTTGTGACGGTGTGTGACGCTTTGTGACGGTCTGTGACGGTGTGTGACGCTTTGTGACGGTGTGTGACGCTTTGTGACGGTGTGTGACGCTTTGTGACGGTGTGTGACTCTTTGTGACGGTGTGTGACGCTTTGTGACGGTGTGTGACGCTTTGTGACGGTGTGTGACGCTTTGTGACGGTGTGTGACGCTTTGTGGCGGTGTGTGACGCTTTGTGACGGTGTGTGACGCTTTGTGACGGTGTGTGACGCTTTGTGACGGTGTGTGACGCTTTGTGACGGTGTGTGACGGTGTGTGACGCTTTGTGACGGTGTGTGACGGTGTGTGACGCTTTGTAACGGTGTGTGACGCTTTGTGACGGTGTGTGACTCTTTGTGACGGTCTGTGACGCTTTGTGACGGTCTGTGACGGTGTGTGACGCTTTGTGACGATGTGCGACGCTCTGTGACGGTGTGTGACGCTTTGTGACGCTCTGTGACGTGCTGTGACGTGCCGTGATATGATATCATTATTGTGAAACAAGAACCTGCCTGTTGCCATACACTGTGACGTTACGTAACGCGTCACAATTTTTGTGTGCTCGGGAGCAAAAAATATATCGTGCATGGTATACAAATGCGACTGAATAAACACTGCTAATGTTGTCTGGAATATGAAATGATATTGAATGATTGTTCCGTATATCAAGGTACGTACTGTACATTTATACTGGATTTATTTTTACACGAGTTTCAAACTATTTCAGCTTTATGAACAATGAGATCACATCACTAACATACAGAAAGACTCCATATTTTCTCATCAAATGTGATTATCGTTACAAGTAACAGTAGAAATGCTTCAAAATTTATTCTGTATGTAAAGCAGGCCAGCATGTTTCATTTTCCTTTGGTGGTAGTGACCACTCACCAAGTCAAATAGGCCATTCCATTTAATAGCCCCCCCCCCCCTATTGTCTATTGAGGTCTGGATATCCTATATGAGGATTTTATAGAGGGGGTTTTTACCTTAAATTTTTCTGGAGGGTAGCTTAAGAGATTTCCTAAAAATTAGGTGTTTTAGTGATATCCAAAGGGGCAGGAACAATATCCTAAAGGGGTAGAAAGACATCCATAGGGGTTCCAAAATTGCATCCAATGGGGTTCCAAAATTATTAAAAGGTATTATGAAGAGACCCCTCAATAGGGTGTGGAGGGGCTATATTAGATGGAATGGCCCAGTGTGCTGCAACAACTTTTAAAATTTGTATATATGTTTTTAAGGCACAATATGTGATGGAGTTTGATATGATGATCAGCACAACCTGAAGGTCTTGACTGAATGAACAACTTATCTGATATACTCCTACTTCCAATACTTTGCTGTATATTATCACCAGCTCAGATGTCAGTTGGATCACTTTGAATGAACATTGGAGTGGCACAATAAAGTGTCTGTATTAGGGAGGAGTCTAACTGAAGTAAAAGGCACACTTTTGGATATTAATCTGAATCATAGCAACTACATATAATGTAGGTTTCAAATTAGTTTGAACAATGAACAACTGAAAATAGAAATTTATTTAATTGGAAACACTTAAAGGAATTACAACATATTATATGATAGTCATATGTACATGATTATAGGTATATTCATTAGTTTTACTAGCTGATATTTATGACTATCCTGGGACAACATTTATTTTCCCCAAGAGATTTTACTTGCATGATAGTAATAAGTTTAATAGTAACAGAGAAGTGTGATGGATATGTGCAAGTAATTATCATTAGAAATACAAAGATTAAACTGTAATTTTGATCATTGTAAATATTATTAAAGAAACAAAATACAAAAGTACACACAAGGCTATTTAACATAATACAGTCATAATACCAGACTGGTTAAAGAACTACTGAATAGAGGGATCATGAAAATCTTCTAAGATTACTACCATAGCTCTGTAACAGGAAAAGGTATAGTGAGTTAAGGTTTATTCACCTTGATGAACAAAATTATATAGCATTAGAAAACTATAATGCCATCAACTAATTCCCATCCAACTTTCATGTTGGTCACTGTGAAATATAATCTTGAGGCCATCTTAATGATTGTTTACTATCTGATTGATGACATGATTATATATATTTCCATGGAATTCAAGTTGTTTTTCCCCAAGTTCATGTAAAATATGGTTCACCTGTTAAAATAATAAAATGTTTACTAGTTGTTTTGTAACAGAACAGTACCTGCTTTAAAGAAAATATAGGAAAGAGAAAATTGAAATAACAGTTGTACACTGTATATGGAAAACAGAATCCTGAAATCTTTCTAAGCATTTCTACTACGTACTGTTATCATAATTTGATTAACTGATGAGATAATATGAAGTTTTTCTATATGTTAAAAACTGTGATTTCTGAAGAAGTCTCTGTATGTGTGAAATGAAGTCTTGCTGTATGTGTGAAACTGAGTTTATTAGAAAATGTGATTTCCGAGACTCTGAGGAAATGTGAAAGCAACGTGTGAAAAAAATCGAATAAATTCAGTATAAATGTACATTACATACCTTGATATACAGAACAATCAATCAATATTATTTCATATTCCAGGCAACACTATCAGTGTTTATTCAGTCGCATTTGAGGCCGAACAGCATCTGATATATACGAGGGTTGCCAAAGCGAACAAAACGATGTCACAAATATGAGCGCCATACTCCGACAAATTGATACAATATGATGATGAATGTTGCATAGTTTTGTGTACATGTGTGTTCACAGCTTATATCTGAAGTATTTTTCGTAAAAGTTGTTAAAACTTTGAGAATAAATCCATAAACACTCAACAAAACATGTATATTTTTAGGCAAGAAAATCGGAAGCGCGAGCGCTAATTGTAGTCAGCAACATAACGTTGTCGTTACTGCGCATGCGATAAATCTCCAAGAATCTTGGAGATTTCATCGTATTTTACCAGGGTCTTCCTCAGCTCACGCGCCACCACGAGGAAGACTCTGGGGACGAGGTTGATTCTCCATTTTGTTTCCACACAGAACCATCATCGTTCTTACTATCAAGACGACTTCCACATGGAACCATCACGTGGACCGCCATCCATGATCGAAATGCCCTATGCAAACGTGGAGAATTCCTTGAAGGCCCACCACCAACCGGCCCCCCGTACAAGCAAACCGTCTACCGAAACAACCCTTATTAACCAGCTAGCCTAGACGGGGGACGTGAATTTTATGTTATCATATAACACATTATAGGCCTACGATTAGCACAGTAGTGAATTGTAAAGTTTAACGATGAACGATGCATGAAAAAGTTTTTGTATTAGTAGAGATGATTTCACACTTTCCAAGCTTTTTAATTATTTACCATTAATTTGTAGCAATATATATTTGTAACGATTTTTATATCACACTTATCACACCAGTTTTTAATAATTTTGAATATTATATTTTAACAAGTTTGTTTTATTCGTGTTCTTTTATTTAAGACGTTTGTACTGCGAATATGCTTTGCATGTTTTACCTGTCAAGAAAAAACTGACAAGGAAGGAATTAGAATATGCATATTCATAACTTTACAAAGGTCGAGGGTTTGTTGATATGTGCTCAGCGAAGCTGGAAATTCACATATCTGCATGCATCTCCTTTTGTAATTAAAGGACGTTGGCAATAAAAAATTAGTTTAGTTCAGGGACGCCGGAACGATGTGAAGGCAAGCGGGGCAGATTTTCGTGAAAGGGCACTTTTGAATTGATATATACTAAGAGATGTTTACAAAACATCGGGAGTTAAACTTCGCCTAATCACGTTTTCTATTTATTGGATGATAGAGGTGTTAGGGGGTTCTCCGCCAGGAGATTGTGCTATTCGTGAAGCTCGATGACTGCATTTCTTGCGTTTTCTGAAGCATGTTCGTAAAAGAATTGCACTAACATTTCTGACAATTCGCTATTTCGCCAAGGCAATCCCTTAAATTGAAAGGGCACCTTTGCCCCCCTTTGCCCCCCGTAAAGGGCAACGGGAGCAACCTCGTTCCCAGGCTCTTTGCTCTTGGGAAGCAAAGACCCTGGTCGGAGCTGGTCACGTGACCCATTGAAAATTGATAGCCCAAGAGGGGGATGGAAAAGTCTCATATTACATGTTTCCACTTCCGCACTTCGATTGCAAGGAGTGGCCGTTCTGTACAATCATTAATTCATCTTCAAGAATCATATATACCTCAAACTACTTGCTAAATTGGTTTCTGTTTGCTTTTAAATTATACAAACATGCAAAAATGCAGATTCTTCTCTAAAATTCAGGAAATCAAGCAACGAGAACGTATGACTGTACGCTTTGAAATCTTTTTATTTTCTCGGGGTTCGCCGGTTCGGGCGTAGTTCTATTTCACGCATACGTTTCTGTTCTGGCTCTGATATTTATAATATGCTTATAATATGCCAATGAATTGTTCTGATATGGACATGGTATAATTTTTTTTAAACAGATGTCTCAAAAGCGACTGTTTATAGGTCGTAGGATTAACGCCTTGACGGTCTTAAACGTGACACATTTGGACACAAGCCAAATACACATTGTGAATGTCCATTCTATTGATTCTAAAACTGTTTATAGACATATTGCTCTAGATTTTTTTTTTAAATGGCTATCATCGTTTATATTAAACACCAGGAAGACAAAATATAACGTACAAAATTGTTTGAAATCGACAGTGCACAGCTGACGTACGACAATTCAAAACTGCATGAATTTCCTTTTTTGTCTGCACGAGTACCTGTCTGTTGAAGCCAAAATATTGCACAGCATCTCCTATAAATTCTATCGCCATTTACCCTCTCCCCTTAAATGCAAAGAAATGACAGCCGAAAAGGTTTAGCAAAGTATTTTTTTATTATATCTGGTATAAAGTGTCCTACGTTTTATCAGGGATATACATAATTCATAAACTGTATATGCACACGAAGTCTCGCTTATATTAATGAGTTTTACTGTAACAACCCTTTAAAGTTTCCATTGATAGATAGGTTGTTTGCCTCCAGTACTGTTTGGTAAAACAGACTAAACTTCTAAAATGTCGATTACAGTATACGATAAAGATTAAAGTTGATTTAAATATTGATAACTCACAGCGGCATTAATCCATTATACAAGTCTAAAGAAGCTGGATTATTCTTCAATAAAGCCCTCAATGGACAATGCCAATGTCAATGAAAGGTCTAATATTATACATGTTGCAAATTACTGTATATACAAAATATGAAATAATTTATATAAAGTACAATACCAGTGTCTGGTGTATATATCGTCCTAGATATTCAAGTTGTACCGCACGCACGGAAACGCACGGAGGAGTCTTGGCGTTTGTGTGATAACAGATAGCTAGCTACACTTCGACATTATCTTTCTTGATCGTTGAGTTTCAGCAATGTAAATTAAATGAATTTTATAGCCAGTCCACAACGGGTTTTAATCCTGTGCTTTTACAGTCAGAATAGTACTATTGTTTACACATGTTGGCGATGTTTGGGAAATCAAAGACAAAGGATCCCGTTATAAAATAAATTTTTTGTTTTGAATATCGGACAGGATACACTTCAACTATAAAGAACCATATCGTTCGTTTAATACCGTTTGATCGACCAGTCTGTGTAGAAGATATGTATGTTTCTACGGCGATACGTGCTAAACTTCGCAAGCCAGGCGCGTGTGGAGTGTTTTCCTTGCAAGTGAAATATGATCCAGCTTCTCGCTTGAAATGTAACGCAACACTTATTATTGATGACATTCAGGATAGCAGGAAGTCTTGTCATGATCGGTACGAATTTAGAACAGCTCCTTTCACAATCTCTTGTTGCAAATTACATTTTTATCACCCGAAATTATAACACATAAAGTTGCAATTTTCCAAACGCAACAAACAGACTACTCTACTACCCCTCCCTGAGATCAAATTCAATTTACCCCCAAAATCTGGGGGTTCACGTGACCAGCTCCGACCAGGGTCTTTGCTTCCCAAGAGCAAAGAGCCTGGGAACGAGGTTGGGCGCAGCAACATGCAGGAGTAAGAACTGTGCTAAATGTGGCGGTCGACATCACACTTTACCTTATATGATTGGGTCAGCTAAAGAGACTATGCACCCTACATTGGTAGTGATTTCAAACGAAGAGAAATTCAGGGTTATGCTAGATACGGGAGCTGGGAGCTCGTTTGCTTCTTCGACATTTATCAGACATCTTGGAATGAAACCATCGCACTGGGAATGGAAAACCTTTGAAACCATGACAACAGTACGCCAGAAGTTACCTCTTTATGATGTCAAGTTATTATCTACTGATGGTAAAGAAGAGCTAAATGTCTCGTTGACCATGTTGGACAAACCTGTTATCACGACTTTAAGCAATCCTAAAATTGGAGAGTTGAAGAAGCAGCTTCCACATTTAAGGTGACTATGTGGTGACTAAGATCCAATTCATCTGATCCTTGGAGTCGGTGACTTATCGCGGATCAAGACGTCTACATGCCGAGTCGGAGATGTCAATCAACCTGTTGCAGCTAGAGAAGACAACCTATGGTTGGACCGTGATGGGTCCTGGAAAGAATGAGTCACACATTAGTTATTTTGCCAAAACATTACAAGAGGATTATGAGAAGCTCTGCAACTTGGATGTGCTGGGGTTACAAGATCACCCTATGGGAGACCAGAATATGGTGTATGAAGAATTTAAAGAGTCGCTGCAAAGGAACCGGGATGGAAGTTATATCACCTGTCTGCCATGGAAAGCAGCACACCCACCACTGAAAGATAATGCTACTAGTGCCAAAGCTCGTTTGGGAAGATTACTTAAAAAGTTGGAGAGATACCCGGTCTCTCTGCGATTATTCAAGATAAAATCAGTCAAGGAATCGTTGAGCCAGCACCTGATGAACCAACGGGGGATAAAGAGTCCGCCGAAGCTACTAAAATGCACATTGTCTACGATGCCTCCTCTGGTGAAATTGCTAAAGCTGCTTCTCGATCTAAATGACTCTCTTGAGACAGGCCCACAGTTGCAGTCTCTCCTGCACAACGTCGTCGTGAGAAATCGTTTGTGTCCGATTGACTGCTGATGTGAAACAAGCCTTCCACCAAATGTGGATCCAACCTATCTTCCGGTTTTTCTGGATTTCTGACCTGGATCACAAGAACATTGTAACACTCCGCTTTACCAGAGTTCCTTTTGGTTGTGTTTCTAGTCCGTTTTTGCTTGGGGCAACATTGCAAGAACATTTGAGCGCTTCGGAACAGAAATACCCAGAAACTGTAGCTGAATTAAGAAATGATCTTTATGTTGATGATGTAATTAGTGGCGGCACATGCGAGCAAGAAGTGACGAAGGTCAAAGAGGAAGCCAAAGAGATCTTTCACCAGGGAGGCTTCACACTTCACAAGTGGCATTGCTCCGTAGCCAGTTTAGAAGAACCAGAGAACAATGACTCGGAACAAACATACGCGAAAGAAAGTCTCGGAACAAAGATTGGCGAAGCGAAAATTTTGGGATTGAAATGGAACAAACTAAAGGACACTTTAGCTGTCGATTTTACAAGTTGCAAGGCAACGCAGGAATACACAAAGAGAGGAATCTTGAGGGCTATGGCAAAGGTTTACGATCCTTTGGGCTGGTATCTCCTGTCATGTTGGAAGCGAAACATCTCTACCGAATTGTCTGCGAGAAAAACTTACCATGGGATGCACACCTGGAAAAGGAATTCATTTGGCATCAGTGGCTAAAGAAATTGCCTGATGAAATAACTGTTCCTCGAAACATAGTAAGTCTTCAACTTCCATTAACAAAAGTGAAACTGCACGGATTTGGTGATGCTAGAAGAAAAGGATGCTGTGCAGCAATCTACGGTGTGGTTAAGCAAGGGGAATATACAAGTCAAGGTCTTTGTTTAGAAGAGATATGACTTTTTCACGCAAAACGCGCGCAGACAATCAGTGGATTATTGAGATCAGAGTACTATAAAGAAGAACGCTAAGTAAACAGTAAACTCGTGTAGGAATTTCGTATTAAAGTTTATTTTCACTGTTTTTGTACTAAATCGAGTACTTCTCGAGGCTAAATATCGTTACATCGCAACATTTGGCGATCCTGCCAGGACAATTCGAGGAATTTGGGGGTTTTTAAAGTGAATTTCGTGGTTAAAATCGGGGAAAATTTCACAACATCGTGCTCGAGGACTTTTGGCGTATTTACAGCGTTTATTCGTAGTTGTATCGGTATTGGAACAATATTCGGGGACGTGTTATAAATTTGTGATAAACTCGGCTTTGTTTTAAACTTTATTGGGTGTTTCTACGATATATTTACATCGAATTATAGCAAGTTTACGGGGTATTTGGAATTAGACGGCGGTTTATATTACTAAAGTATTAAATATACTGTGCCACGTACTTGATGGTTGGGGATAGCCAGGAAATCAGGGGATAAACAGTAATTTTAATGGACGCATAAGTACAAACTAAAGTTATTGATTCTGATTTGTTGATATATTTGTGGAACTTTATGGTGAAGTTATTAATTTCTTAAATATAACTTTGGAACAAAAAATACAGCTAAAACAGAAAACAAAGCTTATTTGCTAAGGGACATAATGCCGTTAACTAACGAGACAGATGAACCAAGTGTATCCAAGAATGATCTTGAACTGGAAGAAACAGTGCTTGCATTAAAGCGAGAAAAACGAGCAAGAAAAACAAATGTGACAAAAATTAGACATAACTTAGAAAAATTGTGTGCTCAGAAGAGTAAATTAAATCGTGGTGAAATCGAAGCTGAAATTGAGGCTTTGTGGGATGCGTTGGAAACGTGCTTATCTGTGATGGATGAATTGTGTTCGACTTATATTAAATCTAACCAAGCTGAAGCTAAGGAAGCTATTCTAAAAGAAGAGGAAAACTTTGAATCAGATGGACACCAGACTGTGGAG